AAACTGGTGATGGAAATTTCTTGTTCTAAGGACACTCTATAAGAATTATTAGGATCCATGCCTACCCAAATCAGGAAAAAAAGTGAATTGTTGTTGTCCCTTTTTAACTTGTAGTGACTAAAAATACATGCATTGCTTGCATAGTTTACTGTTTCATTCTTCCTCTTTCCTTTTCTCCTGCTTCTTTGTAGATTCTTAACAAACATGATGTGTGTTATGATCTCATTAACCTCTCTGGCCATTTTAAAACTAAACTTTTTTTTTTTTTAAGATTTTATTTATTTGACAGAGAGAGACACAGCGAGAGAGGGAATACAAGCAGGGGGAGTGGGAGAGGGAGAAGCAGGCTTCCCCCGTAGCAGGGAGCCTGATGTGGGGCTCGATCCCAGGACCCTGAGATCATGACCCGAGCCAAAGGCAGATGCTTAACGACTGAGCCACCCAGGTGCCCCAAACCTAAACTTCTTATACTCTGGCTTGTCCCACCTTATGAATGGCTTTAGCTCTTCCATGTTCAATGGGTAGTCCCTTAATGATGGCCTGAATATGTTACTCTTTCTTATTTACTGTTATTTCTCAAAAAAATATCTTGGGCGCTCTTGATTTTGTTTTCTCTAGAGTACCTCCAGGTTTTTATTGTAAGGTATCTCTTCCTTTCCTCTAAACATTTAATAACTTTACAGACAGGAAATATGTAGAGATTTTTCCCTCTCACTCTCTGATTTATTCACAGTCTGAATTCTAAGTATTCTCATATATTAAGGCCTTTTATTATTTATCACATATTGCAGCTTTAAGACCTTTGTATACTTTTACTCCCTCGGGAATTTAACTGCTAAATCATTTCCTCCATGCACTCAATACACATTCCAAGTACTATAGCATATTTTCTAATCTCATTTAAAAATGAAATGCTGATATTACATTCCATAGCAGAATAAAGGACAATTGTTTCCACAGAAAAATATGATATGAAAACACATCTGCCACAAAATTGTGCATCCCTTAGCATATGATTTCTGGAAAAAATTATGTAAAACACTGATGAATGAAGTCAACACCAAAAAGTATAGCCATTTATTTTTTAAAAGTCTACGAACCACGTGTCAGTGAACCATATACAGAGCTGGAAAAACAAGCTGTTTTGAAAAGCCACAATACATGGATATTAATTCCTTGTCACACATATACATCATTTATTCATCCATATCTTTAGTAACTGACTGCATTGTTCAGCTACCTTCCTGACAATGCAACAATCATGCTTCTTAATGAAGTTATTTCTTTTTTCTTTTTATTGTTATGTTAATCACCATACATTATGTCATTAGTTTTTGATGTAGTGTTCCATGATTCATTGTTTGTGTATAACACCCAGTGCTCCATGCAGAACATGCCCTCTTTAATACCCATCACCAGGCCAACCCATCCCCCCACCCCCCTCCCCTCTAGAACCCTCAGTTTGTTTCTCCCATGGTTCGTCTCCCCCTCCGTTTCCCCCCCTTCATTCTTCCCCTCCTGCTATCTTCTTCTTCTTCTTTTTTTTTTTTAAACATATAATGTATTATTTGTTTCAGAGGTACAGGTCTGTGATTCAGCAGTCTCAATGAAGTTATTTCTGATTGTTTTCTCTTTGTTCAATTTCATCCTTTTCACCTAATGTTTAAAAATCCCTACATTGAGTACTCACCCACAAGGAAAAGCAAAGGAATAGAAGATTTGGAATCAAATGTACCTACTCAATGCTTTGTGCATTCAAGTGTGGATTTTCTTACATGTTCACTAAAGAGCTTAATATTCAGTCAGTCAGTTATTTATTTATTTATTTATTTTGTCTCTAAGATAGCTAGTTTGAATGCTCTTTTTCACTGGCTTCGCTAAATCAGTGGGGAAGCCATAGATTCTGGTGTTTGAGAGCAGTAGCTTTAGAGGGAGACAGATACGAATTTGTATTTTTCTGACCACTTCCTAGGTGGGTGAAGATAATACTAAACATCTCTGAGCTTCACTTCTATCGCCTTTAAGTTGGGAATTTAAACTATGATGGAATTAAATGAGATCTATATGAAAAGTGCTTGGCACATGGTATGACCTCAATACATTTTGCAGGTAGATGCTATTATTGCTATTAGAGCAATGGTGATGGTAAAAGAGCGTTATCCATAATATATTCTGTCTTGTAACGTCTGTTGCTAACCATCATTACCTAGTACCAAGGCTTTAGAAATAAAATGACTCTTAGAAAAATAATATATGTGGGAATTTGTTGAGAAAGGCCTGAGCCATGAGTATATAAGCTTCAAAAAATACCATTCACACACATAGTTCTTTGATTCCTACAATTATCATGCTGCTAGTAATTATGATCTAGATGAGTAGTTATATCTAAAAAGGCCTGTTTTGGACATGAAATTTTTCTTTAAATGTGCTTAAATTCAGTGTCCTTTGTTTAGCTTCTATAGCTCTCTAGAATTCTCTCTAGAATTCATTTACTATTTGGAACACTCTCATAAATAAAATGATTGGGTTATGATTTGCCACTGTATTACAGCATTTTTCAGTGGACAGAACAAACATATACTGAACACTAAACTTGTAGCATGACAGGCATTGTGTTTGGTCTTGTGCTTTTCAAGTATTACCTTATTTAATTGTTGCCCATGACTCTTACTTGAAAACAAAGCACATTTATTCACATTTATTTATGAGAAACTGAAGACTTGCCCAAGGACAGCAACATGGCTAATATATGGCAGAGTTGATTTCAAAGTCAAATCTGTCTAAATGCAGTCTTTTCATTCCCTATGTAAGTAGGGTTTCCCATGTGGAATTTATTTCAACTAACTACTAAGAAATATGCCTAATATTTTCTCAAATAGCAGATTAATGTGATTTATTCTGACTGCCCAATCCTTGTAGAACTGCATGAATTCATAAACCAAAAAGGAAGAAAGAGAAATCTAGTTTTTTAAACTAAGTAAGGTCAGTTAAAAATCATTGCATGTGTTTCTCATTTTCTTTCCCATTTCTTAATGCCCCTTCTCTAGTCATAACCATGGTGCATTTTGCCTAGGTAAGACTTGATCTCTATTATCTATCAGCCCTTAATTTTTCATGCAACTCTGAAGATTGGATGGGATGTTTGTGCAAAAACTTAATGATGTATTCTAAGAACCTATGTGGAGAAGTGACAATTCAGAGTGATTCACTGTCACTTTTAGGGATAATGGTTTACAATATTAAACCATTTTCCATAATAAAGTTTTTTAAATCTCTCAGTTAATCTCTTTTGAAGAGCCATTTCCTTGAAAGAAAATATCCTGTTTTAGTCTCACCTGATACTCCTTGGATTAAAATAATTGTATTACAGCAGAAATGTAATTCAACTTATAGTACTTTTCTGTATTGTGCTAAATATGTACATGTCCTCCAGGCACCCTGTTTCACACCTTAACTCTGACATATGTTTGGCTTTCTCTGATTAAGTGTTACCTGTCAGTCGTGCCCACTACACTCTTGGGTCCCTACAGGACAGAAGCTATAGAGGATACAGTGTTTGTATCCTGAGCTGACAACCAAATCATGTTTAATGAAATTTTTATAAGTACTCCATTGATAAAAATAATAATGTATGATCTTAAAATTTGCATAATTCCAGAAGTTGGTAATGAAGATATGTATGTGTCTAAATTTTTTAATATCCTGACCTCTCCTTAAAGTCAAGCCTGACTGTAGAAACATCCCATTTTGTAGCTGCAGGAAGCTGTCCTCTTTCTCCCCCTGGCTTCATCACTCATTAATGTAGCCTTTAACAAACATCATGATGCCTCTTCTTTCTAGCCTGTAAAATGGAGATATTAATGGTAATTAGCTCATATAATTATTGTTAGGATCACTTCAGATAATTGTCATAAAATATTTACCAAAATGGCCAACATGGAGGAAATAGTCAATAAATGTACATGTACTCTAGTGTGCATATCGAGATGGCCTTGCAACCCTGCAGAATATACTTGGCTTGGAACAATCCTCAAATCCGATAAGAGGTTATTAAATCAAATGTTTTAGATAACAAAAAAATGAAATGGTACTTAAAATACTTCTTGTTGAGAGGATTTACATTTGGGAGGATGGAAGAAAAACCATTTTTTTCAACAGTAATATGTCACTTTATTAGACATATTTTTTACATTAACTCATTTTTATTGGCAACTGCTTATTCGCTGACTCAAACTGTGATCTTTGGGTTTGTAATGTCTTATCTTTCTAACCAGACTTGACCTCCTTGACAGAGGGGAACTTTTTTTTTTTCCAAACAGAACCTTGGACAGTACCTTATAAATTTTTAAAAAATATACAAGAACTTTGAAACAATTATGTATGTGTGCTTATGTCTGTTTATATATTGTATATAATGTGTGTGTGCATATATAGGGAGAGTCATATTCTAGGTACTTAGAGAGTGACACATATAATTGCATATAATAAATGGTTTGGGAAGTGAATAGAATTGAGCATCAGATAACATGAATTTACATCCTGATAATGATATTTAAATACAAAAAAGATGTTGGTGAAGTCACTTAACATAATTAAACCTTGGTTTCTTCATTTAGATATGCACTGTCCAGTAGAACTTTCTTCAGTGATGTGAATGTTCTATTTCTCTGCTATCCAATATGGTAACCACTAGCTACACATGGCTGTTGAATACAAAATGTAACTAGTATAGCTGAGGAACTGGTGTACATTTTATTTAATTTTATGTGTTTTAAATCTAACTAGACACATGTGGCAAGTAGCTCCATTACAATATAGATATAGAATCAAGGATGACAGGACAATATCATGTGAAAAGAGGCTATGCTGAATTTCCTTGGTATGGGTGATACGAAGGCTGATTTTCAGCAGAAGACTATCCTCTTTTGAAACAACTATACTATCCCATAGGATCTTAGGCCTTTTTAATTTAAACCCTTTTCCTTTATTTCCCTTAACAGATCTTGAAAACTTTAAAACAAGAACAAGAAGCACTGTGTCTGTCCGTCAAGGTCAGGGGATGGTACTACTGTGTGGCCCACCAGCTCATTCAGGAGGTAAACTATAAATGCACTGAAATGTCTACACTTCATTCGCTGCTATTTTTCTTGCTGATTTTCCGCCCCACCCCCACCCCCCGGCACTAGCTAAAGGAAAAGTGTCATTTGCAGAGATTCCCAAAGTCCCTCCGTGTCAAGGAAGAATCGTTGTCAATGCCTCCCATAATTAGGATAGGAAAATATCAGATTCTACAAATGTTCTACCTGACTGCTATCTACCTGGCACAAGGGGAAAAACACCTGAGTCCATTGAGATCAGAATTCTGTTGCTTGGTAAGGCAATGTAGGTAAAGTTACCAGTACTTTCTCCAACTTGATTGGTTTCAAAGCTGACGTTGCTTTATTTCATCTTGTGTCTGGTCTGGAAAAGGATAAGATCCAATCCAGGATCACTTTGTAAAGACTCATAATAACTGGATCAGTTAGGAATCCATTTGAATTATTTTTGTTTATTTTTCCAAGTTTTTATTTAAATTCCTGTTAACTAACATAGTGTAACATAAGTTTCAGGTGTAAAATTTAGTGATTCGTCACTTACATACAACACCCAGTGTTCATCACAAGTGCCCTCCTTAATACTAAATAAAAAAATAAATAAATAATAAATAAATAAATAACTGAAAACCCAGCTAACACAGGCTTCAACACTGGAGTTTGTGTTGTTCTCACACACATTTCCAGAGGTATGTAATCTAAAGCTGATACCACTTCTTGAAGATGTTTTCCAGGATGCAAGCCGTTTCTTGCATCCTTTTCTATAGTCCTTAACATGTGATATGGCTAGGGTACCTAGGTCCAGTCCAAACAGGAAGAAATAGAAACAGTCAAGGACCAAAGTCCAAAGTCTCCATCTGAGTTTGCCTTTGTATTATGAAAGGTTTGCTTTGCCCGAGGACTTATACCTACATGTCACTGATCACCCCCAGTGGCAAAAGAGACTGAAAAATCAAGTATTTTATACAGATCAATTTGATAGCCCTGAAAAAAAATCATAATTTTGTAATAAGGGAGACTATAGAGACATGCTGTATAGACAACTTACAATGTCTGCTAAAAAGACTAACGATGACTGAAAGGCAAATCTGACTTCCATAAAGGGCTCAGTAGTGTGGAGGTTGAATAGATAATGGCATTTATTAGGATTCCTCTAAAGCTTGAGGTAACAAGATTGATAAACTCTATTCTTGGGAATTCTGGCTAAAGTTGAATTTGCTATCTGCTATCCTTGTTATCTTAATTTTCTGTTTGGTTTAACACATGATGAAAAGAAAAAAAAATTTTTTTAACTGAGAATTTGAAAACACCCTTTTATTTTTGCCCTGTATTCTAAAGTTGTAACTTTTCCTTGCTCATCTAATACCCTAACTAACCTTTCCAGCAGGAAATAACAATTAGCAAAATAGCTAAAAGACTTGTACTCTGACATGACAAGTATAAAAGCAGATGGAAGAGGCTAGATTGAAGACATGGAATTATTCAAGGTTCTGGTTTTTGAAGACTGGCAGAGAATCCAGATTAAATTTCGGTAGTTTGTGTTCTGAGAGATGGGTTTACTCCTTAGGGCTCCCATTTTCCCTTCAAGTTAGTATCAGAAGCATTAAATTTGGAGTCCAGGACATGAGTTCCAGTCCTGACTCTCTTTCAAATCATTATTTGATATTGAGCAAATATTTTCACTCTTCTTATCTATAAAATGAGGAGATGAAAGGAAATCTCTCAGATCCCATTTAGTTGTATCATTACATGGTAATAACTCAATAAAGACTAAACATATTTATCCAGTAGGTTTGCATTATTGAAGCTCTGTCATTTATATGAAGAAGGCAATTAACTGGACATATACTTAGGTTAAAGTCAAGCTCACTCAGACTAACTTTTCTCTTCCTATGATGAAATTGGATCAAAATAAGAATTAAAGGTTTTGCTGATTTCTTCTGCAGTCTACCTCATAGCATTAAACTTTCATAACATGGCAGCAACTCTAAAAATTAATCTTGTAGGCATATTAAGAAACAAAGTGCCCCACCTCTCCCTGGTATGCTAGTATCTTTGGGAAAGGCAAAGCACCTGGAGTGTTGCTGTGCCGCTATGCAGTGAGACACCTGAAGACTTTCCCCTTCCCGCAGAGAAATATATTAAACATTTTCATAGACATCCCCTGCAATGTGCTTGTCTCTGCTGGCAGCAGTCAGCAGCTCTGAAATCCAGTTTCTTGAGCTGTGCTGACATTCCTGACAGTCCTGATGGTGAAAGACAAGGAAATAAATATTCTCATTATGGGCTTTATCAGAACTTGCATGCTCAGTAACACTGTGGGCAAGGCAGGCAAGGCAAGGAAATGTGCAAGAAAACCGAGAGGATCTTGAAGGGTGTGAGAGAGCATCTCAGACAGCCATCAGTTTGAGGCAGTGGAGTCAATGATTATCTGATAAAATCCCCCCAATTACTCAAAACCTTTCAGTGCAAACTGCACCGCAGTGATTCTCTCGTTGCTTCTCCAGGCTGTGTATCACCTGAAAGCCGGCAGAATCACCATGAGCCACTGGACATACTGAGCGTTTTAGACCCAGCATATGGTATCCCAGTTTCAATTGTAACAGATCATGCAGAGGGAAGGAAATGAGTCAGCCTTTTACTGTGTCAGTGGGATACTGAGTAATGGCGTGAAATCCATTGTAAAGGATGCTGCATGTCCTCTTTCAAAAGCTGTGCAGTCAGACCTTCTTAGGGTAACATAGAAATGAGCAACAATTAATCTATTTTGAAAAGCATTTCAGTCAGCAGGTATATCCAGTACTTTACCAATCACTACATGTAGCATCTTTGTCATCTTTTGGTTAATAGATACGAATTCATTTGTGATGTCATTGCATAGATTTTACTATTAAATCTTAACACAAACACCAAACAATAGAAATCACTGTGATGGGCTCTGGTTGTCCATGGTGTCCCTTCATATTAGAAACAGAGTTTATTGAGATCCAGAATTTTCTCCTTGCTTTCCATCAACTCCAAGGTCATTTGGCACCAGGAATTCATGATGCTTAAGCAAGCTCTCATTAAATAGCAATAGAACCAAGGTACTTTGAGATTCTTCCTGCCACTATACTAAAATTGTATTATTCACCAGTGAATTCCTCATGAACTGTTCAAGGGAGGTTTTTGTTCTCACCTTCCTTTTATATGTCACCAAGATCCTTGCTACTCAAAATGTGGTCCCTGGGCCAGCAGCATCTGCCTCACCTGGCAGCTTGTTAAAAAGACAGTTTCAGGTTCCACCCAGAGCCTAGTGAATAAGAATTCACATTTTAATAAGATCTCCAAGTGATTCATATGCACATTACAGTTTGAGAAGCCCTGAGCTATATCTGATTCTCTCACACACACATCCCTCACTTCTGGCCAGTGATGGGCAGGAAGCTGAGGTATAACCAGGGCAACATGTTAAAACCATAGGTGTCCCACCACTTCCCAAGGATATTCTGATTCCACAAATCTATTGTTTTAGAGACTCTAAGGCAGCACCAGATTTAAGATGCACCCACTTTGATCACCTTCTACAAACCCAGTCCAGATTCACACTGCTGAGATAGAGGACTTTGATTTCCACATCACCCAAGCAGAAGGGTTGAGCACTTTTGTTTTAAAAGAATTTAAAATAAAATATAATCACCTCAGGATTTACCTTTACTTCGTGTATTTTTGTGGTTGTTGATAAGGGAGATGAACAACCAAGAAAAACTGGCTTTTTCTTAAGTATTTATCTTCAAAAATAGCATTTTGTATCTGTCCAACTTTTACTACATTATTATTAGTGAAAGTATGGTTTCCTAGAGTACTAAAAAGAAACCACATGATTCTGATTCTAAGATGATTTTCATTGTTACGGGTTTTACAGAAACCAGCTATAATTGTCATCATTAGATGCTTTTACACAGAACACATTCCCATTAAAGTTGGATTCTGTTCACATAGCATGAGATGCAGGGACCTTATAACAGAGCATCTGTAGAGTTCTTCATGGTGTTTATAATGTTTTAATTTCCATTATATTATCTCTGATCCTCACAGTAATCCTTTAAGAAGTAAGGGCATGTATTTCATAGATAAGGAAATCGAAGCAAAGAGATTATGTGGGGTCACACACTAATCAATGGCAGGGTCAAGAGTTATCTTTGCCTAGAACGCGACCCTTTTTTTTTTTTCCAGTTCAGGAGACAACAGTAGAAACAGGTACTAGATTCTCTATGCCAGGGGTTCTTTGGGCCCCATTCCAGATCAATTAAGTGTGCCTTTCTTGAGAGAGGTCCTCTGGCATCATTTATATTTATAAAAGCACTGTACATGATTCTAATATGCAGCCGGGGTGGAAAATGTGTGCCCCTGCATTACAAAATCAAGTAGATCTTGTCTCAGCAGAACCTCTCTGTTTGCAAACATTTCCAGGGTCCAGGGACTTTGATTTGATCTGTACATATCCACAAATATAATAACCCTAGTGTAGTTATTTCAGCTGGGTCATTTTGTATTTACTGTGGGACAAAGGAAAAATCATGAAACTGGGACACCTACATTCCAGACCCACATCTCCTACTACCTTACTATGTGGTCTTGGGCCACTTATGTAACTTCTCTGGGCCCTATTTGGTTTCTGTCATCCCACACATACTGTTTCTAGCATCCAGATGTCAACTTCAGGATCGGGCTCACCCAGTTTCTTAATGAGTTCAAACCATGCTGACAGGTCTTGGACCTGGACTGATGTTGCTATGCTGAAATGTTTCCCTCTATGCCCAGAATAATCTTCAAGACAACCACATTTTGTCAAGCTGACAGCTCTGCCTAACCCCACTCCATGCCTTATTCCTAACCCTTGCCCCATACTTGGCTCCTATGTTTACCAGTTCAATGTACCTTCAGACTTTTAGGTGCATCTTTATTTGCTCCAAACATCAATTCATTTTACTGTAGTATAGACACTAAGTTTAGTTCTTGCCCTCATGTCTCA